TATCCGCTTAGGTCTGTGCTTTAAGATAGTCTCGTTATTATCTGTCCGCTGGGTTAAGCTGTCGTCAAAAATTTCGCTATCACGTATCGTTATATTGTGAAGTAGGTACTTTCTAAACAAAATACACATCAGACTGGACTTCACGGTTTAAGATCTCAGCCTGTCTTAAGTGGCGAATCGTAACAAAAGAAGGCAACCTATTAATGAATCGATTTGTTGATTTTGATTTATTCACCTTTTTTATACGTATTTATATATTTTATTATACTATTCCGGTAATAAAGAAATTAAACGAGAAATTGTTAAGTGTGAACAGCGTTGTTGCTTGTTGGCACCACACCACTATAAGATATATACGTCCCACTGTTGGGCACAGGCCTCCCCTCATTTTTGAGAGGGTTGGCAAGGAAGTGTCCGCTGCGCTGCCCCAATGCGTGTTAGCGAACATCACATGTCTTCGAAATATTTTTTTTTGATTATTCCTCAGACATGCAAGTTTCCTCACGATGTTTCCCTTCACCACCGAGCACGTGGTAAATAAGCACTTAAAATTGCAAAACAATTTCATTGGTGCCGGCGGGGATCGAATCCGGGTTACTCGCGTTCTGTTAAATTTACAGAAAGCGTTAATCATCTGAGCTAGCACGGCTCGTATAAGTGTATATGATAATTATCGTTTTTATTGCTGTAAATATTATTTATGTCCTTAATTAGAGTGATAATTAAGGTGAATGTTTTCGGAGTTGATTTTCAACTGCTGCAAGTAAGGTCTGCCATATTTCTCCTTGCATATTTCTTGATTAATCTAAAAAAATTGTCTTACCTTGTTTCCGAGCCCTTCCTCAACGACATGGTCATGCCTGGGCGGCCGTGAAAGCCTGTTTAAGAATGTTAATAGAATCAGCGGAAACTTTCCAGAAATCCATTATATTTTGTAAAATGAAAGGACAATGAGGGCTAATAATATTTTAATTCATCAGATGTCGCCACTTGACAATTAGATAAAGTTTTTTGTTACGCAATGTAATTTAATTGAGAAGTTAGTTTTAAATAACATTTTATCAGTTTCTAGAGTATTAAATTAACACACAAAACACTGACTTAGTGTTCTTAGGTTTAATTTTTTGCATATTCTCATTTTGTTTAAATTTTCTACTTTTATGAATATCTGTAGTTTGGTTTATTTATTTATAATCTAATTAATACAAAATATAACTAATAGTACAGAAATAAACATTAACCTTTACACATTTCTTACAAATTAACTTCCCCGCTATGAAATCTGTCAAATATTACATCTCATTTATAAGTGGTGCCGCCCTGGTGGCAGAAAAAGTCGTGGATGCCCTCATTCACCTAACAGTCCACCTGATGGTAAGAGGCTACTGTAGCCCTTGTACATCTGCAGCTAACTTAAGATGTTTTGTCGCTTTTGTGGCCTTATGAACTGTAATAACAATAAGTTATAATTATAATACTGGCTTTCTATAACCTTCAGAACGGATCACAGCAGTGCACTTTTACTGTTTGGCGGGACGAATAGGTAAAGACCGATTTACACTTCGACAAGTACAGTAGCCAGTTAATTTGAGAACCTAGCGAATTAAGTAGAAAATCACGTTTGAACGGTAATCAGTGAGTTGAGAGTAAGTAGCAAGTTAACAATTAAGTTGAACGGGATGGCTGGCCGGTCTATTTTTCGGCGAGTTAAGTTAGAAGAGTTGTCCTCTCGCGCGTCTCGCGAAGGGGAACATATGGACGTGTAGCAAGCAGCACGCCTGGAGCGTCGGTGCTTCACGACAGCAATATGTTCACATATAATCAATCGGAAACTGAAGGTATCCGAGCTCACTACGGCTAATGAACGTCAAACATGTCAGTTCTCCCCGTGACCATGGGTGCTGTAAAACACCCGAAAGGTCAGGAATTAAAAATAAGTTAATTAAATGTCATAAAATCCGTATAAATACTTTTATTCAATCGCCTATAAATTTTATCTATATAAAAGGGGTAGAAACAAGCATGCGAATCACCTGATGTATAGGTGACTTATTGGAGGGATATTTGCCTATTTGCCTTTGGTACCAGGCTTGGTTGGCGGGTAAATCAACAGAGAGCAATCGTAGTTTTTGATTATTATTATTAATTGAATAAAACTATTATTTACGGTTTTTATCGCGTTTAATTAATTTAATTTATTTTTATTATTATCCCGACGTTTCGGGTGTGGAAGTGGAAGTCTGCAGTCTGCGAACATGTTCAAGATCGTCCCCACCATTACATTAGATTTGATAAACCACAAATTCTCGCAAAAGAACACCGATTCCTACCAAGGATGATACGCGAGGCTATTGAAATTAAAAAAAAAAACATCCAAATTTCAATTGTGAAGATGGTTAGGTGCTACCATCTGCTTGGGATCCTATAATTAACAAAATTAAACCCAAACCCAAGCATACCACTGCAAGACTTCATGATACTATAAGCTCGTTTTGCGTAAATCGAACCAAAAATTAATATTAAAAAAAACTGAAGGTAGCCGGACTAACTATGACATTGGGACGTCAAACATCTCAGCCCCCCCCCCCCCCGAGACCATGGGTGCTGTAAAGCACCCGAAACGTCGGGATAATAATAAAAATAAATTAAAGTAATTAAACGCGATAAAATCCGTAAATAATAGTTTTATTCAATGTGTAGTTTTCGCGTAAATTTAAGTAATCATTATATTATTATTAAGCAGTTGTTAGAAGATGCTGGTGTCATTGCCCGTCTCCTGTTACATTCCTCTGCGTCGCCTCGTACGACACCACGGAACGATCTGGTGGTGGAGTCTCTCAGACCGTCACTATACGGCAAAGTGCAACAAGTCCGTCGTGTTTTGTTTAAATAAACAAGTAGGGGAAGGTGGGGGGACACCGGATAGTTAAGAAAAAGACACAAAAAATAAATCACTATGTTATTTATTGAGATAATCAATATCACAAATGTTTGAGTATACCTTAGGCATAACTTTGGTATGAAAATATTTGAGATCAATTTTAATTACTACAAACTAGAACAATTTTAAACAAAAATTACAAATCCGAATTCACCCCACACCTATGGGCCAAACCGGATAGGCGTTTTATATTACAGGGGTGAATACAGATACTAACAATAAAACAAAATACTTAAATTATTCGCAGTTTTTGCATATAAAATTAATAATACTTGGTCAGAACAACCAATGCAACTTTCGTGAGCCCATTCAAGACAAGCAGTGCATTGGTACCATTCATCTGTGGACTTAGTTAGACTATACTTTTCACCACAAACCAAACACTCCGAATCTTCTTGATTGTTTTCTTTATTGGTCTTTTTCCCGATACCTTTACCTCTGCCTTTAAATTTTATTTTGATAACTGATTGCGTAGATTTTCCAGCCAGTTCATTTTTATACGGCGATTCAGTTAAAATTGCTGTTTTTCCTCGACGCGTCGATGGCCGGATTGTTTTTTTAAAATGAGGAATCGGCATGATATCTTTCGGCGATACAAGACTTATAGAATTTGGAAATATTTGTCCTTCTGTAGATGTTCCTGCTTGCGGGGATGGAGTTCTTTCTCGAGGCAATGAATCCTGAGAGATTTCATTTGTGGTTGGTACACATGATATTTCTGTTGTCTGTGATGGTGCAAAATCTACGTCTGTAAAAATATTGATATTCAGAGGGCAAATTCCGGTTTTGGCGAAAGCAGACACTGCATTTTGCATTGTAGCGGCACGATTATAAGCAGTTCCAAACAAAGATGCTATTTGAAATTGGGTGACAACACGCCCCGGATGATTTCGAAGCCATAACTGGATTTCTTGCGAGTAAAACGTGCTCAATGGCGCCATAAAACCAACATCGAGTGGCTGTAAGCGATGCGTGCAGTGAGGTGGCAAGCAGAGCATTATGACACCATGCGCACGAGCTAACTCAATAGCTTCTAGGTTTTTAGTGTGTGTGGCGTGACCATCTAAGACAAGAAGCACGGGATCTTCTTTTCTTGGTTTTACATAGGAGATAAAGTGGCGCATCCATTCGGCGAAAATATGTTGTTGCATCCAACCACTTGGATGGCATACAGCTACTGTGACCGGTGGTGCACCATCTAAAAGCTCACTCTTCATTCGTGCTCGAGGAAAAACCATAAGAGGTGGAATATAATGTCCAGCTGCAGAAAAGCAAAGCACTGCCGTTACCAACTGTCCTCGTTCAGCCGAAGCTAGTGCACCAACTTGTTTTTTACCTTTCACCGATATAATTTTTCCTATTTTTTTTGGTACAGAGGTCAATCCAGTTTCGTCCATGTTATAAATTCGCGTGCAATTGAAAGCGTGCTTAACATAAAGTGTATCCAAAAGATTAAAAAATGATGACACTACAGACCTATTAAATCCCATTGCTCTTGCAGCTGATGTAGCTTCAGGTGATCTTAGCGACAATTCAGAATGTCGTTTTAGAAATCCACTAACCCAATCTAAGCCAGCGAGTCCAGTTTCTTTATTAAAAGGATGGTTTAAATTGTTTCTCTCAGCTAATTGGAATGCCAAACGTCGCAGATCTGTTTTAGTCAAGCCAAATAGTCGAGATTCCATAATTTTGATATGTTCGACTAACATACCTTCCAACTCATCAGTAAAGACGCATTTTTCAGTAGCAGGGCACTTTCGGAACACTTCATATTTTGATTTTCCACGTTTTATCTTCTTTATACGATCTTCTAATGAACTTTTAGGTACATTGTATGTATTTGACGCTAAAAGATATCCCATTCTACCTTCCATCACCAAATTTATGGCTAAAAGCATGTCTGACTCCGACCATTGAACCCTATTTGACTTTCTCACATATGTTCGTGGCATGCTGACACTCTCACTCTCTAAAAAGTAAAAAGAAAAATAGCAATTAAAAGAAGATGTAAAACAAACACCCACAAGACCTACATACAAATCAATCGGGGTGAAATCGGATGGTCGAAATCACCCCGTCCGCTTGTACCCCACAGGTACCATGTTTGAAATTGCAATAATTAACAGGTTATCTTGACACTCATAGCGATACCAAATACCGTTTTAGAAATTTAAATATGTATTACTTCTTTGAATATACAGCTGTTTATGATAGCACATAGCTAAACTTAATGATAATACTTTCAAAAAAACAAAATATTAGATAACTTACCTCTGTTTTTAATTTTCGTTTATAGACGCACGCGCAGAGATGTTACCGACTCCGCCATTTGCAATAGCACTGACTAAGCGTTCGCGCGTATTTCTCTATTAGCTAGAACGAGCCAGCTATACGCGGGGTAATGAAATAGTAACTATCTGGTTTCACCCTCTGTCTGGTTTCCCCCCACCTTCCCCTACGACCAAATATACACATTATTAGAAGATATTACAAGGATCGTTTTAAAATCATAAAAAAATTCTATTTACATATTGCTTACCTAAAGTTTTGTATTCAATAATACATATTCTATTACGTTCCTAAACTTGAAATGATGACATAATCATGTATTCAGATAAAAATTTATTAAAGTATAAACTAATTGCTTAAACCGCGTTTAATCTTTAGTTCAAAGTAATTTGAATAGAAAACGATTTTTAATGAGATTCAAACCCTGAACCTACATTACACTACATGACACTGCAATACTATCTCATACGTATGTAGTAACGCAAAAATCCATTAGCCTAATGATGCGTGAATTTCTTCTACTTGAGCTCAGTGGCCGCTCTGTTTGAGGCCCCTAGGCTACTAACACCTCTTTACTAACCAAATATGAGTCAACGTAACTTAGGCCTAAGTAGACAGCATTTGGTGGTGCGTATGGCTGAGTAGCGCGTGCGGCATACATTTTACGTCGCACGCTACATTTAGGTTTAATAAGCTTATGCCCTAAGTGGAGAGCGGGCAGGGCAACTTAAAAGTCGGTTAAGAGAATCGTCAACAATATCTAATGGTTACTGAAACATGGCAAGATAACTAAAGCAGAATTCAACTCTGTCTCGCCAACTACGCAGTCAGGAATTTACATTTAGAAAAAAGCCAAAATTAGGGGCTTATTATGTGCTTATTAGGTGACTGCCTCGTTGGTCTAGTGGTTGTAGGAGTGCGACTGTTGATCATGAGGTTCTGGGTTCGAATCCCGGGTCGAGTCAGAAAAACTAATTATTGAGTTTTTCCGTCAAGAAATTCTCAGTTGTTGCCCGGAGGCAGGAAGTTGGCGGTGCCTTACCCTCGTGTCTAGGAAAGCACGTAAAGTCGTTGGTCATGGTCCTGCGCCTGAATTCTTTCCGGTCGTGTCGGTTTACTGTCCCATCGGATTATGAGAGTGAGGGAATAGAGAGTGCACCTGTGCTTGCGCATACACTTGGTCACTATAATCCTTTCCTGCGCCGATGGCTAGCTCCCGTTGAGGCAGGCCGCCGTGGCCGAAATTCGGTCTGGAGGTCATTATTATTATTATTAGGTGCCAAGTTTAAAAATTAGGTGCTCTAAAATATTCAACGCAACGAACTGTTAAAAATTTGCGTTGCTGGCAAAATGTACCTATCGATAGCAGCGTAGTGATGTTAATAAATATATGATAAATATTTATAGCAAGGAATTATAAAATTAACAAAACCCAACAGCATTTACGCTGGTATTCTGTAAGAGCGTGGTCCTTCCCCAGTCGAGCCGACCCATTCCCATCTAATGTAGCTGCAGCAAGTTAAACATACTACTGACATATATATATACATACTACATAACAAAATACACATATAATACATAGCACATAATACTACATAACAAAATATGTTCTCAACATGTTTTATAAAATAACTTTTATGGGGTTTTATTATGTAATCACTGTTCAAATAGTGATTTTGTGTCATATGTATGGTTTTTTTCGAGCCTGTTATTATGATTCGTGTTGCTGTCTCCATTCACTTGTTCAATCACAGTACGCAATAACTTTTTCAGTAGATTTACTTTAGATTTAAGTTTAAAAGTTCTACAACGTCGCCTTAATGATGAAACATCAATAAAACGTAGAATGATATTATAATACTTACTGCAATATTTGAATACTTAAGTTTTATAAAGACGTTGTAGCTCAGGGGCCAAGCGCTCACGGTAATTTTGACGACCGGGCTCGGGTTCAAATCCTGTTAGCACGAATGAAATTGTTGATTGCACTTTTATGAGCTGCTGATTTACCACGTGCTCAGCGGAGAATGTAAACAGGACATAAGATATACGCCAACGTGTTCTGGAGTAGCGCAACTGATGCAATACCCTCATCCCTTTAGATAATGAAGGGGCCTGTGCTCTACTGTGGTACGTTTATATTATATACTAAAAATTGCCTCGTCTAGCGATCGCAATCGCGACTGCTAATTATGAGTACCGGGTTTGAATCTCGGGTCGAACCAAAATCAATTAATGTGTTTTCTCAATAGTAGCCTGAAGTTAGGAAGTTGACGGTGTTCCAACCCCTGCTTCGGTTGCTCCTGCGGCTGATCTCTCCGGTTTCGGATTGTCATCCCGCCGGACTATGGCAGTGATGGAATAGAGTGCACTTGTATGTGCGCACACGCTCGTACACTATAATCCTATCACGCGCTGATGGCTAGTTTCCGTTGAGACTGGCTGAGAGAATTTTTTACACTACAAAGGTTATCTATACGCTTCTCAACTTTAATGTATTCGAGTCTCATGTTAAAATTATTCGCAACTCGTAAATATAGGGTATAGTTTGCCTAACTGACGTATGTACTTGTGAATGCGCAAATCATTGTTTAATTCGTTGTTCATTGTTATTTACCTAATGACCAACTTATGTTTTTTATAGTTGACTTCTTTACGTAAAACAGATCATTGCCTAAAGCTCAGTTTGGACTACGCCAGGGGTGGCGAACCTTTATGTATCAACGTGCCATTTTTATAAAGAAATGTTTAATGAGGTCATACACCTGCCGTAAAATAATTTTGACTTCGTGATTATTGGGAAAATAAGTACTAAATACTATCGACTCAAAACTCTTTATTTACTACAAATAACAAATAAAGAGTTTTGAATTGAGAAATTTATTAATATAAATTGCAAAATGTATTCTTAAGTTATACGCGTAATTCAAATAAAAGTAAAATTGGTGTGACTTCTGTTCTTGCAGATTTGATGACAAATAAGTTATATTGTGTTGTTAAATCATATATAACACAAATGAACTTTCAAATACAGTTGTGTCAACAAAATTGACTTTTATGCTTTGCGTAAATAAACTATGCATTCCTTGGGGGAGGCGTTGACTTGTGAAGGGCTGTAATGATGATGATGAAACGAAGTATGCGTCAATAGCAATAGCTAGTCCACGAAATAACTACGATCCTTCTCATATATACTCGGAACTTTGTGATAGGGTGGCGTGCCCAAAATATTGTGTCGCGTGCCATTGGTTTGCCATCCCTGGACTACCCTATAGAATATAGTAAACCTTTAATTCACAGTACAAAACAAAGTCGCATCCCGCCATCTGTATGCTTATCTTTTAAACTATGGATTTTGATGCGATTATCATCAATAGACAATGAGTCAAGAGGAAGGTTTATATATATATATATATATATATATATATATATATATATATATATATATATATATATATATATATAGACATACGTATAATTCTTCGGTCCGTGTGCATGTGACTGAACTAAACGGCTAGACCGATTTCGACGAAATTTTGTGTGTGTGATTGAGTTGATTCGAGAATGCTTAGATACACTGATCATAAGGTCCTGGGTTCAAATCCCGGGTCGAGCCAAAATCAGTTAGTGGGTTTCTCTATTCCGAAATTCTCAATAGCAGCCGGAGCAAAGAAGTTGGCGTTGTTTCTCTCCGTGCCTCGGAAAGTACGTAAAGCCGTTGGTACTGCATCCAATCTCTTGCTGGCTGTCAGATAACCGTCGTATCGGTGCTTGCGCATACATTTGAGCCTTAATATCCTGTTCTGTGCAGGTGGCTTGTCTGTATGAAATTCGGTCTGGAGGACATTATTAGGTATGTATATGATATTATTGTAACATGTAACTGTATACGTCGAATCTCTAGTAGACGTTCAAGATTTTAATCCGAATTCTTTCGGTAAAGTTGTGTTAAAACATAAAACTCGTCCTCTTACTTAATTTCCGAAACTTGGAAACGTATCCTTATTGTTGAACAGACCTCGAGCGTCAAATTACCTTCGCAACCATTGGCGTTTTCCCACCATTGTCGCTGATGACATTTGACCGGCGCATGCGCAATGCGAGTCGCGACCTATTACGTACATATCTTAGTTTACATACAATGAGGAAAATAACGTCCGGTTTTAGACTGGGATTTTAAAAAGAAAATAATGGGCAATTTCAATTGAATCTTTTCGAGTATCGTTTTTTGTGTTCGTTAAATACATTATTAAATTAATTAATGTGATGGTTGTTTGGACATATAGAAAGAATGAAACAGGAAATAGTGAGAAGCAATTGGCATTCGGAAAGGGACGTCATAGACGGAGTTATTTAATAATTTATAGACTGAAGTTTATCGACTAAATTGGCTATACGAGTATATTGAATTGGCGACGAGCTTGATGTTGATATTTATATGCAAGAAGCGAGAGATATGTATCGGGATTCTGCTAAATGAAAGTCCGTAGTCTCTGCCTACACCTTTGGGCGACAGGCGTGAGAGTTTATGTATCTATATGTTGAATTAATAGAGATATCTACGAATATGTTATCACAAAGCTTAGGAATAACATCGCTCGTTGTTTTAAAGAAGAGAAATCAAACAAATATGGAAGGTCGTAAACGCATGCCAGCCATTTGCATTGTTTACAAAATGGCTCGATTCTGATTGGTGTTCTAAACGTTGCGACGTTACTGTTATAAGTATAACTCGATTGACTCGAGACGTTCCATTCGCTGAGCGGCCCTAATCCAATTAAAACACATGTGTACTGGGAAGTCGTCGGTTCGAATAACAATGATTTATGAGAAGCTGGAACTAATCAATACATGGTTTGTTTGTGTACTAGTGGCTGGGATGTAGTTATTTTGTTTAATAAAATGGAAGTGATAAACGAATTTTTAATGCACCGCCACATCACAGTAAGTGGCTACTGCGGTCCATGGGCACATATAACCAACTTAGAACAAAGACAACTATACATTTGCTTTGTCATGTTGGGGACAAAGAAGGAATGCCTCACAGCCTGTAATCAATAATTATACAAGCGCTCTATACTCTATACTATAATGATTTCTTATATTTACGCGAATTCTACAAATGGAATAAAACTAATTTTTTATCCCGTTTGAGTTTAACGTCTTTTAATTGTCGATGTTTCGCGCACTTTTAAGAGTCTATAGTCACGGGGAGACTGAGGTGCTTGACGCGCCGATGTCGCAGTTAACGAAGGCTACCTTCAACTTTTAAATATTAATTTTTGGTCCGATCTACGCAGAACGAGTTTACAGTATCTTGAAGTCTTGCGTTAGTATGTTCGGGTTTAGATTTAATTTTATTAACTATGGGATCCCAGGCAAATGGTAATACCCAACCATCTTCTCTATTGAAATTACGATGTTTTTTTTTCCAATAGCCTCGCGAATCATCCTTGGTAGGAACCGGTGTTTTTTGCGAGGATTTATGGTCTATCAAATCTAATATAATATTTGGGACGATCCTAAACATGTTGACATACTGCAGCCTTCCCGGTGCGTCAGTGCTTCACATCAGCGATATGTTGTTTCACGCGGGTTTTTATGTCAATCTTTTTGTTTGACCTATGTAAGAGAGACCACATCCACAATCAAACTTGTAACTAAACTCTCTCGTGGAGGGATATTACACTTGACGGATGGTAAGAACTGAATAATTTTCTTCGGCGGCTTGTAGTATGTTCTTATGAAAGCACGCTTTAAAATGTAGCCACCCCTCCCAAGCTCTATACCCTTTAGAACGAAACACAGCAGTGTACTTACAGCTGCAGCAGACGGACTCCTAATTATATAAGGAGTGTTACAACTCAGTGATTGACACATATTTGACAGCAGCTTTAACTGTTTATTGTATAAGTGTACTAAGGATCTTAATTGCGTATAAATTTTGAACTTGTATCCCTCTTCCTAAGCTTAGTCTTATCAATGTAATTTTGATAACATTATTTGATGACGGCTTGATAAAACCTCTAGTTGTTCAGATATCGTAGTCATGCAACATACAGCAAGAATACCATCACAGATATTTCAATCATAAAACGTTCAGAAAATATTCGTATTAGTCTAGTAAATATCATCGCAATAAATCGCTCGTTATACATATAACGTTACGGTAATTTCTTTTTATATAAATAAGGACGTAGTGCCGACCTTTTTAACAAGCTTTTATTAGCTTGACCTGTATGTATGTATGTAACGGAATCTTTTAACTTCATTTTCACCTACTTCTAGGAGTCTGATTAACTTGAAAATTTGCACAGTGTTCAAGGGCCGATGACAATACAATAATCTCATAACTTTATATTAAAGCTCTGACCAGGATCATCAGGATAAAAAAATATATTTAGATTAGTGAGCAGGTTAAGGGTATACCACGCGTATTTTCTACTTTTTAGTACGATTGCTATTAAAGCGTGTTTTTTTAAACTATAATTTATTTTATAAAATAAGGGTGACAAAACAGCACACAGTTCACCTAATGGTACACATCAATCCTGTACATCAATCCTCTATCAAGAATCAAAATTCAGATGCGTTATCACACTAACTAAATAAGATGGAATGCCATATTTCCAGTAAAATGTGCCTCCGATCAGACACTCATTATACAAACAGCATTGAGCTGCTATTTCATACTGGTGTTCTGTGAGAGCGTGGTCCTTCACCGGTCGAGCTGATCCATTTATGCTACAACTATAATATGCATGGCTCTACCACGTGTACCACTAAAACCTGCAGTGGTATTGTGTTTCACTGGTGGGAGTCGATTAACTTTTGACGTTTGGTTTCGTTGTATTGTGTAAATGTATTAGTATCGATTAGTTTTACTTTTTAACGCTCTCACAGAATATAATTAGGGTTGCCACATGGTCGGGATTCGTCTGGATTCTCCCGATATTTTAAATGATCTCCAGACTCCCGACAAAACTTCAAATCTCCAGACAAACTGCTAAATAACATCTCAGTTACTATTTAGACTGAATTTTGAAGTAAATCGTTTGAATTTTAAATATTTTCTGAATACAACTAAAGGATCCAAATTGGTGGACTCTAGTAAAGTTAAATGCCAGACACATGTGGCAACCTAAAAATTAAGTGTACTTAAATTACTTTTGTTTTAAGTACTTTTCGTAGCCTCTTAATTAAAAAATAAATTATTTTTAATATTTATTTCTCCCGACAACAACCCCAAAATCCCGACATTTTCAAAATTTGTCGAGGTATTTTGGTCTTCCGATCTTTCAGACCCAAATAGTATATATATGAATGTATCAGAATAGAATACAATAGAATATTTTTTTGTATATTACAAATCCTAATTCTTATTGAAAGAAATTTTCTACGAATCGATCGATTCGATCAATCGCGATCGACACAGGACTAGTGTCAACTATATAAGCCGATGTCTTTATTATATTAACATCATATTTTAAAGTATTATCATAATGAAAACATCAGCTATTAACAACACACGACATTGTCTTTAATACTTTATACTTGTTTCCAGGTGATAGGACAACGAGAATATGCTGTCAGACCAACACGGCGGCCGTCTGAAGAGTTACAGACTGGGCAGCCTTTAGATATAGTTATACAACAGGTAAGAATTTATTTAATAAACAAATCACGATAAATATAAGAATAAAGACGCCTTGTACCTGGCCACTTACAAAAGAGTGCGAACATAACTATCATAAAGAAAAAATAATTTTGTTTACACCGCAGTTACTTCCGAAACCTTGTTTTACCGAATAATAAGGTAAATTTCAATGTTTCGTACTTTTCGTATTTAACAGAGAATTAAAATAGTAGGCATATTGTCGTATCACACATCGTCACCATGATAGCCGTGACCCTTGCCCGGATTTGGCTATGTATGACGTCAGCTATACTTGTAGGGAACCAAAGACATTGCAAAGCAAGAAAATTTGCTGAAATATCTTGACAACCGTGCTTATCGGATTGTTACTGTATTTATTACATGTATCGCCCATGCTAAAACAAAAAATCAAAGTTATTACTAATATAAAAATACATTCTAGACGTTAGTTTCATTGAAATGGTTTTAACCGACTTCTAAAAGGAGGAGGTTCTTCGTAACCTCCTTCGGCTTGCGACCCTAAATCTAGTCCAACAGTGTTCCACCTTTGCCGCATATTGGCAGGACCACGGGAGGGCTTACGCACACATCCGCGGCCCTACCAGTGCCGGCCGTCCAATGGCAGCAACTCCTCGGGGGAAGACTTCTTCTTCCCATTCTCCTTCTCAGGCAAGGCGCACCAGGAACACAAAGCGCCTTCCTTCACGGCCTGCAACTCCACCTGCGTAACGGACCCTCCAAGTTCGAAACGCAGAGGCCATGGAGCCAGGAAAACGAGCGCTCGGAAACACTCCCTTTTCTGACCCCGCGGATCTGGTCTCTGGCTCCACCGCCAACCAAGTTTTTGCCGCGAAGGCGGCGTCTGGCAATACCGCCACTACGCTCCTCCCGCGGCCCCAATATCACCGCATTAGCGGTGTGGCCCCGTCAGAGTCGCGGAGGACAGGGCAAGTGGCGCATCGCCATACCAACACTCCTCGTCCCCCGCGACTCTACTTCGGTTACAGCGGCAGCCACCAACACACATTTGAAGTGGGCTCGCCAAGCCCATTCGGAGTGGCCAGAGGGCCTCGTGCCGGCCTTACACCACGGGCCGGCCAAGTAGGTTCCTCTTAGTTCACCGTGTGTGACCAAGTCTCGGCTGCTAAGCCCCTCAGTCACGATAAGGCGGGAACCCGTTTCGGGGGGGAGGGGGACTATTATCTACCTGCACACTAATTTTGCATACCTAAGTAATAAAAATACCAAGAATCTCAAATTTCGTGAATAAACCGATTATAGTCCTAAAGTCATTGAAAGTAAAGTTACGTCCCACTACTGAGCACAGGCCTCCCCTCATTTCTGCGAGGGTTTTAGGGCAAGGAAGTGTCCGCCGCGCTGTCCCAATGCGTGTTGACGGATTTCACATGTCTTCGAAATATTGTTTTAAATTATTTATTTCTCAGACATGCAGGTTTCCCATGATGTTTTTTTTACATCGCCGAGCACGTGGTAAAGCACTTTAAATTACAATTTGTAACAATTTCATAGGTGCCGGTAGGGATCGAACCCGGGTCGCTCCCGTACTGTGAAATTTACAGCGAGCACTAAGCCCCTGAGTCATTTGTTTATTAATAATAAAAGGATTTTATTAAAAAAAAAACACCCATCAAAAACAAAACTGTGAAAAGGGCCAAGTTCGGTTCAAACGACGATCGGTTTCAAAAACGTTGTAGCTATTGATTTATGATTTAAGAATTTTATACGTGGTAGAGGCACGCTGCAGCATATTATGGTTGTAGCACGAATGGGTCGGCTCGACCGGGAAAGTATCACGCTCTCACAGAATACCAACGTAAAATCTCAGCTTAACACTGCTGTGTTTCGTATGGTGATTGTAGAGATCCGGAGACCCCTTTTTACTGAAAACGAGGCATTCCATCTTAGTCCTCAGGGGTGACAACGCATCTGCGTTTTGATTCTTAATCGAGGATAAATTTAGATGTCTATGGGCCACAGTATTCACTTACAATCAGGTGGACTCGTTTGTCACCATTATTCTATAAAAAACAACTAGTAATATGTAGATTTATGATTTAAGCAACTGTACTGTGAAGCCAACAACCCCGAACGTCGTTTATACCGAATGTTCGGGTTCGGGGAGTTTAAGGGTATTTTAAAATATCGCAACTTGAATGCATGATTGAAACTTGGACGATTGAATTAATCTCACAACAGTAGAGAGGGTAATGAAATATTGAGGGGACAAGGAACCTGTTCGAAATTAACGTAATCTACGGACGTATTTACTACGTTGTATGAATCGCTGCTCAGAAAGAAGACGCAGGCGCTTCAACACCGAATTCAGTCACCTTAAGGGGAAATATAACCTCAAATGGCTTAGCAAGATCCTCCGTTATGCCGAAAGTATTGCAGCATTAACCTGTTAGCTCGCGAGGCCACGTAATATGACACTCCCGTTCGCTCGCGACCGTAATGGCGGGAAAATTTGCAAATTAGCAAATTTTTTGCTATATTGCAAATTTTGCTATATTTTCACTTTGAGACAATATTTATGGATAAAACTTACAGGAATTCTTGTTGAATGTATAAACTATTGAATAAAATTATTTTGGTTGCTAGAAATTATAATAAAATTCATAAATTACCCTTTATAGCATAAGTAGTAGTATATACTTCACTTTTAGTGCCAAAATTACTACTAATTTGAATTCTACACTTTTGTTTTTGGAGAAATTTATATGAAAATGTTTGGAAATATGTATATTTTTATGTTTTATGTGTTTCTATTCGTTACTCATACCAAAATATTAACATATTAAAAAATTAAAAAAAAAAATAATAATAATATTCCTGTCGCTCCGCAGGAACCAAGCTTACGCGCCGATAGTTTAGGTAATTTCTTTTTACAGTGAAAATAATGATATTTAAAAAAAGTAAATAACATAAGCACTGCTTTATGGTTAGTTCAGTTAGTATGCAAAGTTTCATGATCTTATTTAAAGTATTTTATGAATAACAGCGGTTTATTGTTCAGTTTGGAGGTAACTTTGGATTTTTTTTTCTATCGAGAAAATTTTACGGAATCGTGTTTTCGTTTAACATAAACCTTAACATTAATCCTCAACTTTACCATATATTTATTTCAAAATTAATGCTGCAATACTTTCGGCATAACGGAGGATCTTGCTAAGCCATTTGAGGTTATATTTCCCCTTAAGATGTTAAAATTAAATAGCTAAGGTCCCGCGTAAAAAAAAAATTATATATCTTTACTATGTAGTTTGTAAAGCACCTCCCGCCTTCCTTCAATTGCGTGCACTATTCCCGTCACCACTACTCCCAACACCACTACACTAGGAAAGACACACCGTCATCGATAAAACGACACCTGTTTCGCCTCTACACGAGGCAAGCAGGAGAAATGATTTGGCTATGGCTGACCGCTGAGACTAAGCCAATAATAATTAATATTAACATTGAATAAAACTATTATTTACGGATTTTATCGCGTTTAATTCAACTTTAATTTATTTTTATTATCCCGACGTTTCGGGTGCTTTACAGCACCCGTGGTCACGGGGAGACTCAGATGTTTGACGTCCCAATGTCATAGTTAGTCCGGCTACCTTCAGTTTTTGAACATTAATTTTTGGTCTGATTTACGCAAAATGAGCTTATAGTATCATGAAGTCTTGCAGTGGTATGCTTGGGTTTGGGTTTAATTTTATAAATTATAGGATCGCAAGCAGCTGGCAGCACACATCCATCTTCTCTATTGAAATTTGGATGTTTTTTAATTTCAATTTTCAATAGCCTCGCGTATCATCCTTGGTAGGAATCGGTGTTCTTTTGCGAGGATTTGTGGTTTATCAAATCTAATGTAATGGTGGGGACGATCTCGAACATGTTCGCAGACTGCAGACTTCCCGGAGCGTCGGTGCTTCACATCAGCTATATGTTCCTTCACGCGGGTTTTAATAGATCTTTTTGTTTGACCTATGTAAGAGAGACCACATTCACAATCTAGCTTGTACACACCTGCATCTTGTAGAGAAATATTGCATTTGATGGATGGTAAAAATTGACTAATCTTCTTCGGCGGCTTGTAGTATGTTTTAATAGACGCTCGCTTCAAGATGTAGCCAATCTTGTCTGTGACTCCTCTAACATACGGTAGTACAGCAGGCGCGCGCTCGACTGTGGCCGGCTTCACTCGTTTACTGTGACGTAGGCGCGGGACCCGAAGCTTGTTGTCTTGCAATACTTGCTTGACATGCTGAAGCTCGGCGGCCAGATTTTTTTCTGTCACAGATCCCTCGTGCTCTCTGAAACAAAGATTTACCCACGGTAGCTAACTGTGAAAGATGTTAATATTATGATTTAAGAAATCATAATATTAACATCTTTGATGATCTCCGCAAAGTAACGTCTAATTTTATTATTTATTATCAATTATAACTACCTAACTTTATTGCAAATAAAGTTTGTTGGAACCTCCATATATGAAAATTAAACATTACTATTAGGTATTTTCTTTTTTATTTTATTTTATTTCAGACCATGCTGAGACTTACTTGAAAATCTATAGCGACTAGAATTTGAATCCGGATTGCGACATAATGTTAGATGCGCTGATCTTAACGTTCATCTCACTTGAAGTTAAAAATAATCCACATTTACTTCTACTAATTACGAGGGGCAGTCACCCGACTACTAAGTAGATACAATTAACGTTTACTTTCATTTTATTTTCGTAATTCAAAGTATCACACATCTTGAATTATTTAATTTACATATCAATAGTCTAACTCTAATACGTATAGATAGGTATATATTTATTTATAAGGGTGGAGTTAATGCCAGTTACCATGCATCTCTGCCAGTCAACCCATAGCGTGCTGAGAAATTAGTGGCAGGTGACTTAAATATCTAAATGTAAATAGTTATAACACATTAAAATAGAGCTTGTAAATTACACAAATACACATGAATAAAAA